ACCTTTACCACAGGCTTGGCACTAGGAGCTTTCTTTGGAGCCATGGTAGCTTATTTAGTACTTGCAAGCACTAAAATGAGTGGAATATTATGAAATATTTCATAGGCCCACATGAGGGGACCTTCACTCACTGGTAAACAATGCCAGACTGGCTTGGTAGGGCGGCCGCCCCGGCTCACACCGTGTGTACGTGTCCCGGACGAACTACTATTCGCGAGTCAACCTATGATTAGCGAGCCCATGTTTATACGAAAATATCCCTATGATTTCCGAAATCTATGATTCCCGAGAACTATGAAAAGCGAGGGACCACTGTACAGTGGACCCCTGACTTACGATATTAATTCATTCCAGAAGTCTGTTCGGGTGCCGTTACCGAACGAATTTGTTCCCATAAGGAATATTGTAAATTAGATTATACCGTTTCAGACCCCCAAAAATACACATACAAAAGCACTTGCAAAAATACACTTACATAATTGTTCGAGTTGGGAGCTCATCGTAAGGCGGGGGTCTACTGTATTAGAGAGTGGTACAGGATAAGGAGAGTCGTTTATGGTATATAGTAGTGTATCTTGGAAAGGATTCCTACTGATTTGGAAATTTTCTTGGCTATGTGATGGGTATGGGACTGAAATTTAAGATTAAAGTCAAGGAGAAGACCTAGAAATTTGCCCTCTGTGCGTCTTGATATAGGGGAACCATTTAACAGTATGTTGAGTTGAATATTTGAGGCTCTGTTGCCAAACACCATGAAGTATGTTTTGTCTGCATTGAGAGTGAATTTGTTGGTCATCATCCAAGCACATATCTTTAGCAGTTCATTGTTTACACTGTTTCCAAGCATAGCTGGGTCTGAATTGGAGTAGACATATGTAGTGTCATCTGTGAATGGAACTGGTGTAAGGAGTTGGGATGCATTGGGGAGATCTTTGATGTAGATGAGAAAGAGGAGTGGGCCTAGGACACTACCTTGGGGTACTCCTACAGCTACAGGTTGGATAGCGGAGTTGACTCCATTTGCATGTCGCTAAGATAGGATTATAGGTAGTCAAGAGAATGCCCTTTTATGCCGTAATGATTCAGTTTGAGGTGCAAGAGATTGTGGTCAACTGTGTCAAACGCTTTTCTTAGGTCGATAAAGAGCCCCAGGGGATATTCATTTTTATTGAGAGCTGTGTATATTAGGTCAAGCATTTGTATAATAGCATCATTTGTGCTTTCTCCCCCCCCCCTGTCTAAATCCAAACTAGCATGGGTTAAGCATGTTGTTGGATGTAAGGTAGGAGTAAAGTTGCTTGTGTATTATTTTTTCAGATATCTTGGAGAGTAAGAGCAAGTTTGATATGGGTCTGTAATTGTTCAAATCAGTTGGATCTCCACCTTTGTGGATCGGGGTGACCCTTGCTGTCTTGAGCATGGATGGGAAGGTTGAGGATGCTATAGATTTGTTAAACATTGTTGCAATAATGGGCGACAGTTCTGATGCAGCTTTTTTTATGGTAGGAAGAAGTTCGGGTGAGATATGAACAACTATTGGCAGAAAGGTGGGCTAGTGCAAGTATGAGTAGTGGGGGGTTGAAGAGGGTTGGAATAGTTTCGAAAATGCAGTATTAAAACGTGGGGCAGAAATTTATGGCTATAGGAGGGTGGGTGCAGAAGGAAAGAGGAGTGATTGGTGGAATAATGAAGTAAAGGGTGTGATAAAAGATAAAAAGGTAGCTTATGAGAGGTTTTTGCAAAGCAGAAGTGTTATAAGAAGAGTAGAGTATATGGAGAATAAAAGAAAGGTGAAGAGAGTGGTGAGAGAGTGTAAAAGGAGAGCAGATGATAGAGTGGGAGAGGCACTGTCAAGAAATTTTGATGGAAATAAGAAAAAATTTTGGAGTGAGATAAACAAGTTAAGAAAGCCTAGGGAACGAATGGATTTGTCAGTGAAAAACAGAGTAGGGGAGTTAGTAGATGGGGAGCTGGAGGTATTGGGTAGATGGCGTGAATATTTTGAGGAACTTTTAAATGTCGACGAAGAAAGGGAGGTTGTAATTTCATGCACTGGCCAGGAAGGTATACCATCTTTTAGGAGTGAAGAAGAGCAGGATGTGAGTGTGGGAGAGGTGCGTGAGGCATTACGTAGAATGAAAGGGGGTAAAGCAGCTGGAGCTGACAGGATCATGACAGAAATGTTAAAAGCAGGGGCGGACATAGTGTTGGAGTGGTTGGTATTTTTGTTTAATAAATGTGTGAAAGAGGGGAAGGTATCTAGAAATTGGCATAGAGCATGTATAATTCCTTTTTTATTAAGGGAATGGGAACCAAAGTGATTGTAAAAATTATAGAGGAATAAGTTTACTGAGTCCTAGGTAGTAGGTTGGTAAACAGCAACCTCCCAGGAAGGTACTACTGTCCTGCCAAGTGAGTGTACAACAAAAACCTGTAATTGTTTTACATGATGGTAGGATTGCTGGTGTCTTTTGTCTGTCTCATAAACATGCAAGATTTCAGGTATGTCTTGCTACTTCTACTTGCACTTAGGTCACACTACACATACATGTACAAGCATATATATACACACCCCTCTAGGTATTCATCTATTTTCTCTCTAGTTCTTGTTCTTATTTATTTCCTCTTATCTCCATGGGGAAGCGGAACAGAATTCTTCCTCCGTAAGCCATGCGTGTTGTAAGAGGCGACTAAAATGCCGGGAGCAAGGGGCTAGTAACCCCTTCTCTCGTATAAATTACTAATTTAAATGAGAAACTTTCGTTTTTCTTTTTGGGCCACCCTGCCTTGGTGGGATACGGCCGGTGTGTTGAAAGAAAGAAAGAAGTTTACCGCGTATACCAGGAAAAGTGTATGGTAGGGTTATTATTGAAAGAATTAGAGGCAAGACAGAATGTGGGATTGAGGATAATCAAGGAGGTTTTAGAGTGGGTAGGGGATGTGTAGATCAAGTGTTTACATTGAAGCATATATGCGAACAGTATATAGATAAAGGTAGGGAAGTTTTCATTGCATTTATGGATTTAGAAAAGGCATATGATAGAATGGATTGGGGAGCAATGTGGCAGATGTTGCAAGTATATGGAATAGGTAGCAAGTTACTAAATGCTGTTAAGAGTTTTTATGAGGATAGTGAGGCTAAGGTTAGGGTGTGTAGAAGAGAGGGAGACTACTTCCCTGTAAAAGTAGGTCTTAGACAGGGATGTGTAATGTCACCATGGTGGTTTAATATATTTATAGATGGGGTTATAAAAGAAATAAGTGCTAGGGTGTTGGGGAGAGGGGTGGGATTAAATTATGGAGAATCAAATACAAAATGGGAATTGACACAGTTACTTTTTGCTGATGATACTGTGCTTATGGGAGATTCTAAAGAAAAATTGCAAAGGTTAGTGGACGAGTTTGGGAGTGTGTGTAAAGGTAGAAAGTTGAAAGTGAACATAGAAAAGAGCAAGATGATGAGGGTATCAAATGATTTGGATAAAGAAAAATTGGATATCAAATTGGAGAGGAGGAGTATGGAAGAAGTGAATGTTTTCAGATATTTGGGAGTTGACGTGTCAGCGGATGGATTTATGAAGGATGAAGTTAACCATAGAATTGATGAGGAGGAAAAAAGGTGAGTGGTGCTTTGAGGTATATGTGGAGACAAAATTATCTATGGAGGCAAAGAAGGGAATGTATGAAAGTATAGTGGTACCAACACTCTTATATGGGTGTGAAGCTTCAGTTGTAAATGCTGCAACGAGGAGGCGGCTAGAGGTGGAGGAGATGTCCTGTCCAAGTGCATTGTGTGGTGTATAATATTATGCAGAGAATTCAGAGTATGGAAATTAGGAGAAGGTGTGGAGCTAATAAAAGTATTAGTCAGAGGGCTGAAGAGGGGTTGTTGAGGTGGTTGGTCATTTAGAGAGAATGGATCAAAGTAGAATGACATGGAGAGCATATAAATCTTTCTTCTGGTACGTTGGGCATTGCTTTCGGTCACAAACTCCTCAAAGTCATGAAATTCATCTTCACTGACACTTCCTTCTGTGTTAGATCTATCACTTGGTAAGAGAAGAGGCCCAGGTTTGCCGGGGAGTTGGATATTTCTTACCGCTAGGCTTGTTGAACAAGGACTGCTGAAATGGCATTCCCACAATGCACCACTGGCACCCTGATATTTTTTATAGTGTGCACACTAACCATGGAGACCCATTCTCTCACATATGGGCCTACCAGCTTTCTCCCACTTGATTTGAAGCTGCTAGAATTTACGTGTATTAATACATCTGAAACATTGGCTCGTGAGATGTATATGTACGGCCGAAACAGTCAAATGGTTAATCTCTCCTGACCTTGACTGTCTACCAGCCTCATGACCTGACCCTGGCTGTCTCTTAACTTCTCCTGACCTTGACTGTCTACCAGCCTTATGACCTGACCCTGTTTGTCTCTTAACCTCTCCTGACTTTGTCTACCAGCCTCATGACGTGACTCTGGCTATCTCTTAATCTCTCCTGACCTTGACTTGTCGTCTTATCTCTCATGACCTAACCATAGTTATCTCCGAACCATTTCTGACCATGGCCCCTGTTCTCTTACCTTATAACTTGACATTGGTGCTGGACAGACTGAAAATGTCTAGTTTCATTTCCTATTTGTAGTTTAGTTATAAATCGATCCAGTTATGGTACTGACTTTTTTATTCATCAACTTGAAGTGCATTACTTAACTAAAAGAATCTTGAATTTTTCAGAAAGACTTTTGTTTAGAAGCAGGTTACTCTCATTGGTTTAATATCAAGAAGTTATAATTTAGCTTGAATTGTTCACATTTAATTTGATATTATAATTTTTAGCTAAAGACATCTGTTCAATCTAATTTTGTGTACAGCCTTGCAGTACTGTCCTTAGCAGAAAATATTGAACTTAATGTTCAAAGCTACAATGAAACATTGTTTAACCATATCACAAACTTGTGTACAAGTGAATATAATTAAAATTTCATTCAACTAGGAAAAAGCTTTTAAGGCAGAGGCAGACAGTATCTTGGGAGAAGTGCGTCAGAAACAACATGAAGCGTTAAGGATGCAACAGTTGCTGGAATCCCTCATCACTCTACGCTTGACTCGTATCAACAAAGGTGCTGCTCATGGGTACATCTCTTCATCTAAGAATGACCAACATTTTGCTTCCACAATAAGTGAGTTACTCTCTCTTCAGAAAGATTCTCTTCTTCAAAGTATGTACAGGGACATGAATTTGCCTCCTCTCATTTGCTCACTTAACCCTTTCAGGGTCCAGAGGCCAAATCTCAGAGTGACAGCTAGGGTCCAAGAATTTTTGACAAAAAAAAAAAATCTTGCAGAATTAAAGATATTTTTCTGTAGGTAATAAAAACAAAAAAAAAATTCCGTTCAGTACTTTCCAAGATATAGAGGCATGAAATTGACCCTCAATGACCAGGTGGCGGCAACATCTGCGACTTCAGTAAAGTTGCATTTTTATTTTACTGTTTTGTTCATTTTTTCTTTTCTAATTTTGTTTTTTTCAGTAATGTTTGTGGCCTGTTAGACCAATACACAGTGGACCCTCAACCAATGATGGCATCGACTAACAATAAAATCAGGCAATGATGAATTTTGCGTAAAAATTGGCTCGACCAGCGATGAAAAACTTGGGTAAGGACATTCGTCCCGAACGTGTCCACCTGTCCGTCCAGCCTGAATGCCTCAGCTGCCCTGCCTTCGGCCAGTGTGTCATTGTTTACAAGAAAAGGTGGACAGTTTCATGCATACATGCGATATATTTTGTATTATTCCATTGTTTTTTATGAAAGATGAGGTTAATCATAGAATTGATGAAGGAAAAAAGATGAGTGGTGCATTCAGGTATATGTGGAGACAAAAAATGTTATCTATGGAGGCAAAGAAGGGAATGTATGAAAGTATAATGGTACCAACACTCTTATATGGGTGTGAATGGGCTGTAAATGCTGCAGCGAGGAGACGGTTAGAGGCAGTGGAGATGTCCTGTCTAAGGGCAATGTGTGGTGTAAATATTATGCAGAAAATTCGGAGTGTGGAATTAGGAGAAGGTGTGGAGTTAATAAAAGTATTAGTCAGAGGGCTGAAGAGGGGTTGTTGAGGTGGTTTGGTCATTTAGAGAGAATGGATCAAAGTAGAATGACATGGAGAGCATATACAGTGGACCCCCGCATAGCGATCACCTCCGAATGCGACCAATTATGTAAGTGTATTTATGTAAGTGCGTTTGTATGTGTATGTTTGGGGGTCTGAAATGGACTAATCTACTTCACAATATTCCTTATGGGAACAAATTTGGTCAGTACTGGCACCTGAACATACTTCTGGATTGAAAAAATATCGTTAACCGGGGGTCCACTGTAAATCTGTAGGGGAAGGAAGGCGGGGTAGGGGTCATCCTCGAAAAGGTTGGAGGAAAGAGATAAAGGAGGTTTTGTGGGTGAGGGGCATGAACTTCCAGCAAGCGTGCATGAGCCTGTTAGATAGGAGTGAATGAAGACGAATGGTATTTGGGACCTGGCGAGCTGTTGGAGTGTGAGCAGGGTAATATTTAGTGAAGGGATTTCAATGCTAAAGTGGGTAAAAATGTTATGGAGGGAGTAGTAGGTAAATTTGGGGTGCCAGGGGTAAATGTAAATGGGGAGCCTTTAATTGAGCTATGTGTAGAAAGAAATTTGGTAATAAGTAATACATATTTTATGAAAAAGAGGATAAATAAATATACAAGGTATGATGTAGCACGTAATGAAAGTAGTTTGTTAGATTATGTATTGGTGGATAAAAGGTTGATGGGTAGGCTCCAGGATGTACATGTTTATAGAGGGGTAACTGATATATCAGATCATTATTTAGTTGTAGCGACAGTTAGAGTAAGAGTTAGATGGGAAAAGAGGAAGGTGGCAACAACAAGTAAGAGGGAGGTGAAAGTGTATAAACTAAGGGAGGAGGAAGTTCGGGTGAGATATAAGCGACTATTGGCAGAAAGGTGGGCTAGTGCAAAGATGAGTAGTGGGGGGGTTGAAGAGGGTTGGAATAGTTTTAAAAATGCAGTATTAGAATGTGGGGCAGAAGTTTGCGGTTATAGGAGGGTGAGGGCAGGAGGAAAGAGGAGTGACTGGTGGAATGATGAAGTAAAGGGTGTGATAAAAGAGAAAAAGGTAGCTTATGAGAGGTTTTTTACAAAGCAGAAGTGTTATAAGAAGAGCAGAGTATATGGAGAGTAAAAGAAAGGTGAAGAGAGTGGTGAGAGAGTGCAAAAGGAGAGCAGATGATAGAGTGGGAGAGGCACTGTCAAGAAATTTTAATGAAAATAAGAAAAAATTTTGGAGTGAGTTAAAAAGTTAAGAAAGCATAGGAAAGTATGGATTTGTCAGTTAAAAACAGAGTAGGGGAATTAGTAGATGGGGAAAGGGAGGTATTAAGTAGATGGCGAGAATATTTTGAGGGAACTTTTAAATGTTGAGGAAGAAAGGGAGGCGGTAATTTCATGCACTGGCCAGGGAGGTATACCATCTTTTAGGAGTGAAGAAGAGCAGAATGTAAGTGTGGTGGAGGTACGTGAGGCATTACGTAGAATGAAAGGGGGTAAAGCCAGCTGGAACTGATGGGATCATGACAGAAATGTTAAAAGCAGGGGGGGATATAGTGTTGGATGTGGTTGGTACTTTTGTTTAATAAATGTATGAAAGAGGGGAATACCTAGCGATTGGCGGAGAGCATGTATAGTCCCTTTATATAAAGGGAAAGGGGACAAAAGAGATTGTAAAAATTATAGAGGAATAAGTTTACCGAGTATACCAGGAAAGTATACGGTAGGGTTATAATTGAAATAATTAGAGGTAAGACAGAATGTGGGATTGCGGATGAGCAGGGAGGCTTCAGAGTGGGTAGGGATGTGTAGATCAAGTGTTTACATTGAAGCATATATGTGAACATATTTAGATAAAGGTAGGAAGTTTTTATTGCATTTATGGATTTAGAAAAGGCATATGATAGAGTGGATAGAGGAGCAATGTGGCAGATTTGCAAGTATATGGAATAGGTGGTAAGTTACTAAATGCTGTTAAAGTTTTTATGAGGATAGTGAGGCTCAGGTTAGGGTGTGTAGAAGAGAGGGAAAATACTTCCCGTAAAAGTAGGTCTTAGACAGGGATGTGTAATGTCACCATGGTTGTTTAATATATTTATAGATGGGGTTGTAAAAGAAGTAAATGCTAGGGTGTTCGGGAGAGAGGGGGGGTTAAATTGGGGAATCGATTCAAAATGGGAATTGACACAGATACTTTTTGCTAATGATACTGTGCTTATGGGATATTCAAAAGAAAAATTGCAAAGGTTAGTGATGAGTTTGAGAATTTTTATGTAAAGGTAGAAATTTGAAAGTGAACATAGAAAAGAGTAAGGTGATGAGGGTATCAAATGTTTTAAAGATAAAAAAAAATTGGATATCAAATTGGGGAGGAGGAGAAATGGAAGAAGTGAATGTTTCAGATACTTGGGAGTTGACGTGTCGGTGGATGGATTTAAAGAAGGATGAGGTTAATCATAGAATTGATGAGGGAAAAAAGGTGAGTGGTGCGTTGAGGTATTGTGGGGTCAAAAAACGTTATCTATGGAGGTAAAGAAGGGATGTATGAAAGTATAGTAGTTCCAACCCCTCTTATATGGATGTTTAAACTTGGTGGTAAATGCAGCAGCGAGGAGACGGTTTGGGGGCAGTGGAGATGTCCTGTCTAAGGTCAATGTGTGGTGTAAATATTATGCAGAAAATTTAGGGGTGTGGAATTAGGAAAAGGTGGGAGTTAATAAAAGCATTAGTCAGAGGGCAGAAGAGGGGTTTTTGAGGTGGTTTGGTCCCTTTTGAGAGAATGGATCAAAGTAAGGAATGACATGGAAAGCATAAATCTATAGGGGAAGGAAGGAGGGGGACGGGTCGTCCTCGGGAAAAGGGTTGGAAAGAGGGGGTAAAGGAGGTTTGTGGGGCGAGGGGCTTGGGACTTCCAGCAAGCGTGCAGAGCATGTTTTGATAGGAGTGAATGGAACGAATTGATAATTGGGACCTGACGATCTGTTGGGAGTGTGAGCAGGGTAATATTTAGTGAAGGGATTCAGGGAAACCATTATTTTCATATAGTCGGACTTGAGTCCTGGAAATGGGAAGTAACAATGCCTGCACTTTAAAGGAGGGGTTTGGGATATTGGCAGTTTGGAGGGATATGTTGTGTATCTTTATACGTATATGCTTCTAAACTGTTGTATTCTGAGCACCTCTGCAAAAACAGTGATTATATGTGAGTGAGGTGAAAGTGTTGAATGGTGATGAAAGTATTTTCTTTTTGGGGATTTTTTCTTTTTGGGTCGCCCTTCCTCGGTGGGAGACTGCCAACTTGTTAAAAAAAAAAAACTGCTAAATAAGCCACCATGGGCCCAAAGAAAGTTTCTAGTGCCAACCCTGTGGTAAAAAGGGTGAGAAATACTATCAAAATACAGTGGTCACTCGACCAACGGCATTAATCCGTTCCAGAGAGCTAGCCGTTAGGAATTAATTTTCCCCATAAGAAATAATGGAAATAGAGTTAATCCGTTCCAGACACTCAAAAGTATTAAACAAAATAATTTTTTTACATGAAATATACATTTCCCTACACAAAAATGAATGAGACATGTAAAATAAACAATAATTAAATGCCACTTACCTTTATTGTGGAGTTGATGAGTGATGAGACGGTAGTAGGGCAGATGATGCAGGTGTTTTATTGTTTGGAAGGGAAATCCCTTTCTATAAAGACTTGAGGTACTAAGTCCTTTGGTGGGGTTACCTCCCTTCTTGGATTTTTAATGCCACTAGGACCAGCTTGAGAGTCACAGGACCCATGTCACACCAAAACTCTGTCCAGAGAGCTCTGTTTCTCACGTGCCCTTAGGATTTCCCTAAAATGGGACACAAGTGTCATTGTACATGTTGCCAATACAGCTTGCAACTTCTGTGACAGGATAAAATTCATCTATAAATGCTTGCACCTTCGTCTCTCTTCCTTCTGCCCCGAAGAACATTCCTGAGATGTGATCTGTTGCTGTTGCACCTGAAGCTCTTGCAGGTCTGCAGTGGTTAGTTCTTCCTTGTCGTTCTGCACCAACTCTTCCACATCCTCGCCACAAACCTCCAACCCCATGGACTTCCCCAATGACACAATAGCTTCCACTACTGGCATAGGCTCCTGAGGGTTAGCCCCAAACCTTTCAAAACCCCTCTCTTGTACACATTGTGGCCACAGCTTCCTCCAAGCAGAGTTCAAAGTCCTGGTAGTCACTCCCTCCCAAGCCTTACCTATAAGGTTTATGCAACTGAGGATATTGAAGTGATCTTTCCAAAACTCTCTTAGGGTCAATTGAGTGTCTAAGGTCACTTCAAAGCACTTTTGAAACACTGCTTTTGTGTAGAGTTTTTTGAAGTTTGAAATGACCTGCTGGTCCATGGGCTGGAGGAGAGGAGTGGTATTAAGAAGCAAAAACTTCACTTTAACAAAACCAAACTCCCTTGCAATTTTCTCTTGCAAGCCGTGAGGATGAGCAGGAGCATTGTCCATTAGCAGGAGGCACTTGAGTGA